AAGCCGGCGATCGCGCCGTCCTTGAACTTGCCGCCGAGCAACGCCTGGATGCCGCCCTGCACGGTCATGCGTGCGGCCACGCCGGCAGCCGCGCCGAGGCCGGCATCCTTGAGGACGCCCGTGAGCTGGGGCGTCAATCCGGCAGTGAGCGCGCCGCTGACGGCGCCGATGAGCACGCCCTTGAGGCTCAGGTTGCCTTGGATGACACCGCCCGCGAAGGACGCCGCGGCACCGGCGGCCGCGGCCGATCCAACAGCACCCCAGCCGGCCGCCAGGCCCGCACCGGCCGTGGCCCAGCCGACGAAGGCCACCATGACGACGGGCATGGCGCGCTCGAACCAGCCTCGGTGCTCGTAGAGGTTGTCGCGCGAGGTGACCCAGCCCAGTTGCGGGTCGAAGCCCACGGCCTCACCGTTGTTGAGCCGGGGCGTGTGGTTCAGGTCCAGCGCGATGGCGTCGCCGTCCCAGACGCCGCTGTCACCGAGGGCCACATGCGGGTTGTCCAGGCCGGGCTGGCTGACCCAGCGCGGCGGGCCGGCGTTCTCGCTCGAATCCTGCTGCAGCGACAGGTGGCTCTGCGCCTGGCCGTAGAAGCTGGCGAAGGCCTGCTGCGCGAGGCCGCCGTTCTGCGCGCCTTCGGCCAGCCACGCGTTCGTGAAGCGGGCCTCGTCGAAGACCCGCTGCGTCGCGATGACCGGCATGCCGTTGGCGTCGCGCAAGATCTCGCCATCACCCGTGGTGACGTACTGGCCGGTGGGCCAGCCGGTCTCGGGGTCGGTGCCGAACTGCAGCGGCATCTCCACCCAGCCCGGGCCGCCGCCGTCGCGCGCAGCCTGCATCGCGGCGGCATGGGTCTGGCGCACGGCAGCGAGCGCCTGGCTGAACTGCGTCAGCTCGGCATAGCGCTGGGTGCCGTACAGGCGCTGCTGCTCCAGCGCAATGGGGCTCGTGGGTGCGGCTGGCGTGCCGCCGAGCTGGGTACGCAGCTGGGTGATGAAGGGGTCCGCGAGGTAGAGGTCGAGCTGGCCGAGCGCGGCCGCGTCGCCCATTGCCAGG